GTCTTTTGGCTGGGACTCAGCTGTCCTGTGTGTGGTTCAAGTTCCAGCTCTCTGGCTGCTCTGGGTTGCAGCTGCGCTGGGTTGTGCCTTCACTGGGTTGCGGCTGTGCTGGATTCTCTCTATGTATCATTTAAGCTATTGTTACATGCTGCTGAGTCAAGTACAACTCAGATATGAACCCTATCCTGTGTTGTATCATCCTCGACATTCACGAGTTCCTTACTGTAGTCACTGAGTCAGTCCACCTCATTGAAGATATTCCTCTCTTTGGCTGTCCCTCCACTTTTCTAAGTATGGTATTGCTCACGAAGGAAAGGCCCCTTTTAACAATATGACCAAAGTATGTTAAGATGAAGCTTTGCTATCCTTGCCTATAAGAAACACTCTGTTTGCACCTTCTCCAAGACATCGTTCTTTTGACTATTTGTGGGATATTTAGTATTATTCTCCAACACCACAACTCAAAGACATCAATTCTTCTTCTGTCATTCTTATTCATAATCCAGCTCTCAGATGCATTGTAAGTAACTGAAAAGACCATGGTCTTAATCAAGCACACCTTAGTCTTTAAAATTACATCATTATTCCTTAGAACATTGGAGAGATGCCTGACAGCCAACTTTCCCAAAACAATATGTCTTTTTATTTCTTGACTGCTTTCAAGAATGTTAGTGGTGGATCCAACTAAGAAGAAATTATTGACAATTTCAATTTTTTCTCCATGATGTTGCCTATTGGTTCAGTGGTGATGATTTTTATCTTCTTGATGCTGAGCTATAAACCATATTGAAGACTGATTCAAAGCACATCCTATTCTATTCTTGTCTCATTTAACATAACAAAGACAACCCATTCCCAAATAGATTTATAACCACAAATTGTATATAAAGGTTAGGATTTATACACATATTGGGAGTGGAGGAATGACATAATTCAATTCTGATATAGTATCTATCACATAGTCTCAAAGAGTCAGCCGCAAAGCATCATTCACTAAGAGGCTACATTGATCGTATCTTGAATTCTTTAATATCAGAATTCATTCAGTACACACATACTCGTGGTTCTCCCAAAACCAGTTGCCAAGTCCTACTTTTTAAGAGGTTATAAAGCAGATGTGAGAGTTAGCACTGAGAGTGACCATACTTTAAAGCCTAGACTTTCTACAAATCCACTGTAATGGAACTTCACAACTAGAGGCTTGAAGACCATGTTTGTTAAGGGCGCCACATTTCTGGATCACGCTGTTGCTAAGAATCCTTGAGACGTTTAGGATTGTTCCATCTTCCCATCTCCAATGAGAATTTTTCCTCAAGCCAAGCCAGTGAAGATTAAAACAGAGAAGATTTTTTAAGCGTTCCTAAGAAAGAGATTGAAGATGATGAAAATATAGTAGAAAAGATGCAGCTAAATAAAGAAGAGGAAGAATCATTAGTCTTTACACTCACCCTCATTATCATTGCACTAAATTTCTAATTGTGAAGATGTGTGGATTGCTTAGTGAAGCTAGTTCCTAGAACAGAATTTGATTTGAGGTCTATAACTGTATTCTTTTAACTAGACCTATTAGATAATATTATGTGTCTACCTTCTATCCCTACTTCCTCCATGATTGCATAGAGCAACTGATACGTATTTAAATCATTTCAAAGAAGAAAGACCTTAAATACTGCTGAGGAAACAGTTCTCTTTCTCATTATGGTTAGAAACATAAATTATGATGCAGGCTGTTGCTGTTTACATTGGTTTTTTTCCCCCCACAAAACTTCCATTTTTGAATGGATCATGGCTGAAAGCAGGGAATACCAGAGGAATGTCTATCTGTGTTTCATTGACTATCCATTTGACTGTGTGGATCACAACAAACTGTGGCTGAGTCTCACAAGAATGGGAATCCCAGAACAATTGACGGTGCTTATGCAAAACCTATACTTGGACCTTGATCTGATAGCTTTTAACCAAAGCTTCCTTGGTTTCTGTGATTCCAGATTCATCAGCTGGTAACAGTTTCTTATGCTGTGATTAGAGTCTTCTAAGTTTAGTGGTAATGTGTCCCGAACGGAGATGATGTGTCTTGTGGAACTGATGTGTAAATAGTTCTTCTTGGACTGACAGATGTTGAAGAGAGTTGGTAGAAGTGGAGGGTTATCTTGATGGATTGTGGAGCAAAAAAATAAGTGGGTCAGGGCACTTATGCCAAGAGCAGGGACAACACCAAAACTAGTGGTTAATTCCACAATAAGGGATATATTTTCACTTTTTCTGTTAAATGCTTATCTGTTGATACTTCTCTAAATCTGAAAATTCAGATTGACACACATTAGGAAGAAGGATTGGCCATCCACTTCCAAAACAGCAGGCCTCTGAAAACCCTATATACAATAGAACGGTTCAAAATTGGGAAGGGCGTATGCCAGGGATGTGTCCTGTCTCCATACCTTTTCAACCTGTATGCAGAACAGATCATCTGGGAGGCTGGGCTCTATGAGGAGAAATGTGGCATCAGGACTGGTTGAAGATCCATAAATAATCTGCGCTATGCAGATGATACAACCCTGCTTG